GATGCACTTTTTTGGGGGTAAAAAATATTGGTTCTGGAAATTTAGCTCAGTCAATTTATGGAAATTATCCACCATAAAACCTAATGGTGGTAGGCTACTATCATGCCAGGACAACAGGCTTAAACAACTGCCTTGGGCAAACTGAGACATATGTTTACGTTATCTAATGAACAGAGTCACCATCCATTGTCATACCATTCAGCCAAATCAACTTCTTTTCTGTCAGAAAAAATCTGACTTCATATTCAATCCAAATAAACATGCTATTATGTGTCCCCATGACAACCGGCTCACTTCTAAATTCAGCAACTAGCTGGGGATAAGATGATCCCATTTCCTCACACATCAATTTAAAAAGATACAGTCTTAACTCCCTTGATTTTATAATATTTACAATTTAAATAGCACCAGTCAATACTCCCTACAAGTCAGAACTCCATTTTTTTTTTTTTTACAGCCGAAGTTTGTTTATCAATAAAATCATGTTCCCAAGCTAAAGCAAGTTTAAAGCATGGATTGAAAAAAAAAAACCCAAAGCCAATTTCTGTGTAGTCACTGTAACAATCAAGACCAGTTGCATAATTTGCAGGGCTCAGTGCAAAGTGAAAATGTGGGGCTCTTTGTTCAAAAATTAAGTATTTCAGGATGGGAACATCAGATCCTGAAAGCCAGCACTAACTTTTAAAAGGTGGGGCTCAGTCAGGATGGCTGCTATCCAAAGGTCTACAAGCAATAAATGCTGGAGAGGGTGTGGAGAAAAGGGAACCCTCTTACACTGTTGGTGGGAATGCAAACTAGTACAGCCNCCTCCAACTACTAAAAATAAATGAAAAAAAAAAAAAAACAATTGAATAATAGATGACCATGGGAAAAAAAAAAAGGTGGGGCTCTTCTAAGGGCAGGTCACAGACCCAGTGAGCTGGTCTGAATAGCAGTTTTGTTTGTAAAGACTGTTATCCCTATTCCTAGGATAAGCTGAATCAATGTGAATAAGTTTCCAAATTTTAAAAATACTATGACAGAGTCACCTGTTCATGCATTTTCCTCTCCATAAAAATGGACACAATTTATTAACTGAAATCACCTGTGTATTTTCCTTACCTGAAAGGCATAGGAAATCTGTCGATCACAACCTTTTTCATAATCTGGTGAACAGTTTCTCAGTGCCTCAGTTTCCTCATCTGTAAGATGGGGATAATGTACCTACCTTGAATTGCAAGGACTTGGGTTAATATGGGAATGCACTTAGAACAGTGTATGGCATGTAGTACTATGGTAGCTGTAGAACAGAGCTGTTTTCTATTATCATTATTATTATCCAGTAATTTCATTCACTATTCAAATTACAATAATGTTAGAATAGGAATTGATTTACTGGCAATGAGAGACTTGGTAAGTAAAATCTTTTTACCTATCAAAGGTGCACCTGGTATTATAACTTTTTCCAAGTTTATGTAATATTTTCTATTTTTCACTAGAAAAACAGTGACCTAATGAGCAATGTTAATTCTTAAGATGCTCTCTAAGCCAACTCTAATAACTTTTTAAATGTTAAGCTTAGTGATAATTTTAGCAGTGCCCTTAGCTTTCCTCACAAAGAATTAATTGATTTACATTCTGTAAATAATTATTGCACATTGCATTAGAGATATTTTTCATACTATTGTTTGACAATTTTTATGATGAAGATCACAAAGCATAATTGTTATTAAAAAGAAGAACACGTTCTGTGTAAAATTTATTATGTTTAGTTTTGCCGTTTTGCTTTTTTGGTAGTTCTTGGAATGTTGATTGAAAAACTTCTGTCATGTTTTTGTTAGAACTTTGGGCTCTTATAGAAGTGCCCAAACTGTTGGTTTCCTGTGTCCAAGGGAATCCTCAGTCTGCTTTCTCCATTATCTGATTCTTCCTTAGCTACAGACAGGCAATTTAAAAATATTTTATATGGTGTATATATAAAATGCTGACTTCTTTTACTCTAAAGTGATGGTACAATTCAAACAGAACTCACATTTCTATAAAACACATCTGTATTAGTTTCCTGGGGCTGCTGTAACAAAGTACCACAACTTGGAGGGCTTAAAACAACAGAAATTTACTGTCTCACAGTTCCAGAGGCTAGAAATCTGAAATCAAGGTGTCAGCAGGGCCATGTTACCTCTGAAACCTGCAGGGGAATCCTTTCCTCGCCCCAGCTTTTGGTGATTTGCCAGCAGTCCTTGGTTTTCCTTGGTTTGCAGCTGCATACCTCTAGTCTCTGCCTTTTTATATGGGGCACCCTCCCTGTGTGTCTCCATCTTCAATTACTGTCTTCACACAAGAACACCAGTAGTAGTGAGAGCCAGCCCATTCTCTTCAGTATGACCTCATTCTAAAATAGCTACAACCCTATATCCAAATAAAATTACATTCCGAGGTGCTGAAGTGGTGGTGGTTTAATTGCTAAGTCATGCCCTACTCTTGGGACCCCATGGACTGTAGCCCACCAGACTCCTCTGTCCATGGGATTTCCAGGAGAATACTGGAGTGGGTTGCCATTTCCTTCTCCAGGGGATCTTCTTTACCCAGGGATCTAACCTGCTTCTCCTGCACTGCTCGCATCTCCGGCATTGCAGGTGGATTCTTTACCACCAAGGGAGAAATTGGGTGTTAGGATTTCAATATTTATCTTTTAGTGGGACACAATTAAACCCATCATAACATTTAGTAAAATTTTTTTATAGTAAAAGGTGAAATTTTACTATCAAGTTTTAATATTACTGAGGTATTGGAAAAATTTCATCACAAGATTTTTTCATTACAACCATAAAACCAGATTATAATTGTATATTTCAATAACAGTGTACATTATATTTATGAATAATTGATGCTTTTGAACTGTGGTGTTGGAGAAGACTCTTGAGAGTCCCTTGGACTTCAAGGAGATCCAACCAGTCCATCCTAAAGGAGATCAGTCCTGAGTGTTCATTGGAAGGACTGATGCTGAAGCTGAAACTCCAATACTTTGGCCACCTCATGCGAAGAGTTGACTCACTGGAAAAGACCCTGATGCTGGGAAAGATTGGGGGCAGGAGGGGAAGGGGAGGACAGAGGATAAGATGGCTGGATGGCGTCACCGACTCAATGGGCATGGGTTTGAGTAAACTCCGGGAGTTTCTGATGGACAGGGAAGCCTGGCGTGCTGCAATTCATGGGGTCGCAAAGAGTCGGACACAACTGAGTGACTGAACCGAACTGAACTGAAGTTTATATTTTCAAGGAATACATCTAACTACATAGATTTATATTTCCAAAATCTATTATAAAGAAATAAATTATGGAAAGTCACTTGTGATGGAGAGTACGCAAATCATTACTGTCTAGATTAAAATGATGTAGAGTGAAAATGATTATTCATTTTTATAATAAATTACATATAATAAATGGTAAAATGTCAGGTAACATATCAATTGTGCTAATTCTCATTACTTACTTTGTAATAATCCAATGTAATGTGAAGCTAAAATGTTATGAAACAATGCCATAAATGACATGATATTTCTTCTGCAAATATGTGTGAACACATACATCAAATTCTGGGATTTGACTTTTAGAAATAAGTCAGAATCATGTATTAATATCAGAAATCATTCCATTAACTTGATCAGATATTGTAACTAAACAGTTCATACATGTGAAGAAAGAGAAAGGGGTCTTCTTTAGAAGCTAATCAGTCTGAAAGCTGTGGTGAGGCTGTGCCTTTTATTTATAAACATGAAGCAGGAGGTAGGAAAGCACAGCCTAGGAGATGCCTCAGGAACAAATGTGTGCTCAGAGGGTTCAGTACCAGGAAAGACTCAGGTGGAAGTTGAGGGTTTGCAAATTGTTTCACTAGGAAAGTCTTTGCATATCCAAATATCTGTGAGTGTTCAGTTCAGTTCAGTTCAGTTACTCAGTCATGTCCAAATCTTTGTGACCCCATGGACTGTAGCCTGCCAGGCTCCTCTGTGCATGGGATTTTCCAGGCAAGAATACTGGAATGAGTTGCCATTTCCTTCTCCAGGGGATCTTCTCAACCCAAGGATTGAAACTGAGTCTATTGCACTTTATTGCTTGAGTCGCTGGGGAAGCCCGTGTGTGTGTGTGTGTATCTGATANGGCCAAAGTATTGGAGTTTCAGCTTCAGCATCAGACCTTCCAATGAACACCCAGGACTGATCTCCTTTAGGATGGACTGGTTGGATCTCCTTGCAGTCCAAGGGACTGTGAGTGTTACTGCTTGGCAAAGCTTATGTCACATGTGGAACCTTTGCAACATGAAATCTTGGAGATGTAGCTTTTAGCTTTCCAAGTAGGATAGGTTAGGAAGTCAAGTTAGGATGTGGATCTTGAGTGAACCAAGTTAGTTTACAAAATTTACCCTGTGGCCTTCAGTAGAAATTACCAACACTGTTGCCTTGCACTTCATGCTGAACAGACTTAACACTAAGTGTGTGTGCGTGAGAGAGAAACGTTGTGCTCAGTTGCTCAGCCATGTCCAAATCTTTGTGACCCCATGGACTGTAGCCTGTCAGGCTCCTCTGTGCATGGGATTTTCCAGGCAAGAATACTGGAATGAGTTGCCATTTCCTTCTCCAGGGGATCTTCTCAACCCAAGGATTGAAACTGAGTCTATTGTACTTTATTGCTTGAGTCGTTGGGGAAGCCCGTGTGTGTGTGTGTATCTGATACTTAACATTGTGGCCTGGAAATCTCCTGGAAATTGGAGTAGCTGATCCATAGGGATGTTGTCCTATCCCCGTGAAGGGAGGTAAGATGATCTTAAGTTCTGTAGCCAGAGATGAAGTGACTCTCTTGGTGAGGGCCAGACTAACTCATAAAACTATAAAGAATGATGTTTGTGAAAGAAGAATCTGGGAAGAATCTAGACAACTTTTTCTTTGAGTACTTTATCAGATTTCATGCAGCATGTCATGTTAGTTATTTTTCTTTCCTTACTGTTTCATTACTGTTTATTGTAGCAAACAAAAGCAAAACCTAGAGCCAAAGACTGTAATACCTGGAGGGAGAAAAGCGAAGAAATGGAATGGAACTGTTGAGGGACATTGACTTTGTAACAAATCAAGTGAGAAGCCCAAGAGACCAAGTAGGTCTTTGAAGATGTAAAAATAAAACAAAATAATCCCCTAAGGAAAAGTAGAAAGAAGAGGAATCCCCGGTGGAAAACAAAGAAAATGGACCTTGTGTGGCTGTTAGGGACCCAAAATAAAACGGAATCAGACAGTCATGACAGATCTGGGATTCAGTCATGTATTCTGTGTTCTTAGGAAAACCACAAACAACTATAAGGACTTCTGCTTCTCCTAAGGGTCATACCTGAAAAAGCCTCCAATGAGAAGCTCCAGTGATAGCCAATCATTGAAGACTTGTGGTTAGACTGTGAGGACTTATGGGCAGGCTGCAAGAACCACACAATCCCTTTTGCAATTCCCCCAACTGTGACTTCTGCAGCTTTTGCTTCTAAAAAATTCCTCATCCCCTTCACCCCCCAGGGATGTATTTTCAGTATGTATCTCCAGTTTGCAAACCTTGCACAACCTTACAAACAATAAACCTCGTCTTTTGCTTTAAGACAACCCTGACTCTTCTGAGTTTTATTTCCGATTTAAGACAACAAAGAACAGATGAAACAGGTTGAATCCATAGAGCCTGTGAGGGGGATATAAGAACTGTTGGGGCCTTAGGGTCCTCAATTATAAAAGAAGAGCATTGGGCAAGGTGTTTGCCCAATGAGGGTACTTTTAAGGCTGCTTCCATCAGTGAACATTCCGAAGGAGGCCCCATCGTCACCTGAATGTGGATAGGGTATGTGCCCTGCCCTTCCAGGTCCTCCCAGGAGGACGGGGAAGAGTAATGGCACTGGGACAGTGAGGAACACCAGGCTGTGTGGTTTCAAACAAGTCATCTGACATCTCTGAGGTGTCGAGGCGAGATAACCTCTAACGTCTTTTCTGTCTCTGACGTTCAATTGTGTTTTCCCCTGAAGCATGGGCTGTCTGTTCAGGTTGTTCCCCGGAGGCCCAGGAGTGGAGAAATGGGGGGCAGGATGGGAACTCCGGCCATAGTATGGAGACAGAGACATCCTTTGGTCCTGTCTCAATACATTTCACCTCCCTTGACTGAATCTCTACCTCCTGGAACAGGAACTCTGCAGTCACAGGAATCTCTGATATGTAACCCACACAGACTTCCTGTTGATTTCCTTCCTTTTTTTGATAAAGCTTTGAATCTGACCCCCATGGTGCAGTTTCAAAACTTTCTTTGCACAGTGATCGTTCCCTTCCACGCCTGTGCAGGATGTGTATCCAGGGACCCCAGCCACAGCCCTTGGTGAAGGAAGGCATGTCTATTCCATAACATGGAGGTGAAGACTTTATTGCTTTTGGCCCAGCTTTTACCTTCCTAGACCTCCAAGACGGGCCATGTGGGCAGTGTGCAGCAGGGCCTGGGAAGACACAACTGGCTTCCCCTATTTATCCAGGTTTCCTATCATTTTCTCCCAGAGCTGGCATTCCAGCAATGCAGCCCCAATCAATGTCCATTTTCTGGAATGATTCTGCTACCTTTAACCCTGGAACCTTGACCCCTGGCCCCAAAGGGGTGAGTCTGGGAAATCATTCATACACCAGCACTGATGCCTCTATTTTGTAGATGTGCCTGCGCATGTGCTAAGTCGTTTCAGTTGTGTCCGACTCTTTTTGACCCTCTGGACTGTAGCCATCCAGGCTTCTCTGTCCATGGGATTCTCCAGGCAAGAATACCAAAGTGGGTTGCCATGCTTTCCTCCAGGGGATCTTTCTGACTCAGGGCTCAAACCTGTGCCTTTTACATCTCCTGCATTGGTAGAGGGTTCTTTACCACCATCGCCACCTGGGAAGCCCCTCTGCTGTGGGTATAAACTCAGAAAGGAGTAGGTCTTGAGACAGTGGCATCTGAATCACCGAGGCTCTGGACATCAGTCTCCGACATCCTCTTCATGGACTTGCCCTCAAGACCCGATTGCATGTGGCACGGTAAGCAGACGTGGTGAAGCTATTACCATGTTGCTCATTAACCTTCAGTTTTCTTTGCCAAAAGAGCTAGAATTTGGTCAAGACTGTGCCCGTGGTCTGGACTGAGGGAACTGAGGTTGCTCAAAGCAGGTCCAGGGAACTCTTAGCATGGGAGAGGGACAGGGGAGAGAGCAGGCTATGTGGTCACCTAAGTTTATGGAGAAGTGAGAGAAGAGATCTTTGTGTTCCACATTGTCTGACTTCTTTCCTCTATCTCCTTCTCTCTCTCATAGACATGGGAAGGGAAGCCTTCGTGTTCCCCGTCGAGTCACATGGTTCCTTTGGTGCACTGGTGGTGGATTTAGAGAAGCCACTCACGGCCTGGTGCATGGCGTGTGTCAGAGTCTGTACTGACCTCACCCATGATATAGTCTAAGACATATAGCACCCTGGAGCAAGAAAATGAGGTCCTTCTCTTTAAAGGAAAGATTGAAATGTGTAGTGGGCTTGTGGGTGGTTCTGATATGTTTTTCAGGATTCTATAGAGCTCTCTGGTCCAAAGCACCTCTGTGTGGGCCGGGAGTCTGCCCCAGGCACTGCAGGGCTATGGGTGGATGGGAACCCCACAGTGAGGAGGGGTCTGGAGGAAGAAGGGATTCTCTATGAGAACAGAAGCCAGCATTGTCTTGGGCACGAGCAGGAGTCCTTTGGTAGTGACTTTGATAAGAATCAGTCTTTGGTGGGGGACATTGGAGATGTGAACTTGTGGGAGTGTGTTGTCACCAGTTGAGGTTATGGGTTTGCCACGGTGGGACTTTTGGTCCTAACATCTTGACCTTGGAGGACACCAATATCTGAGGTGTACACAAGCATGAAAAGTGTTAGTTACTCAGTTGTTACTCTGTTCGACCCCATGGACTGTAGCCCAACCAGGCTCCTCTGTCCGTGGAATCCTCCAGGCAAGAATACTGGAGTGGGTAGCCATTCCCTTCTCCAGGGAATCTTCCTGACCTGGGGATCGAACCTGGGTCTCCTGCTTTGCAGGCAGATTCTTTACCATCTGAGCCACCAGGGAAGTTGGAGGCGCCCATGAAATCTTCACCAAGCCCCAGGTGTGGCCCCCGAGGTCTGTACTGCTCCTCTCAGCATGCAGGTCCTGAAGGGCAAACCTCGGAGATTAAACCTCTCTCTCCCTGTGTGTCAGGCTCTTCAGTATTTGTTTGTTGCATGTATTGGAATCTTGCCTCAGCTCTGTTGTGACTGCTTTCTTTCCCTCTTCAATGTATCATCACCTAAAGGGTTTGTTTATTTGTAGGCTGCCTCAGTTCAGTTCAGTCTGTCAGTCGTGTCCAGCTCTTTGCAACCCCATGGACTGCAGCACGCCAGGCTTCCTTGTCCATCACCAACTCCCAGAGCTTGCTCAAACTCATGTCCATTGAGTCAGTGTTGCCATGCAACCATCTCATCCTCTGTTGTCCCCTCTCCTGCCTTCAGTCTTTCCCAGCATCAGGGTCTTTTCTAGTGAGTCCGTTCTTCGCATCAGGTGGTCAAAGTACTGGAGCTTCAGCTTCAGCATCAGTCCTTCCGGTGAATATTCAGGACTGATTTCCTTTAGGATGGACTGGTTGGATCTCCTTGCAGTCCAAGGGACTCTCAAGAGTATTCTCCAACACCATAATTCAAAAGCATCAATTCTTTGGCACTCAGATTTCTTTATGCTCCATCTCTCATATCCATACTTGACTGCTGGAAAAACTGAAGCAGTAATCACTGGAAATCAGAACTGAGGAATTTTTTTGAACTTAGAGGTATGTTAGAGACCTCATGGAATTATGGTTTTCATACTTTTTTTTTTGAAAACTTGAGACCAAGTAAGACTTTATGTGAACACTCTACAAAAAACCAAACAAGCAAGCAAGCAAACAAAAAAATCACCTATTTTTAAAAAAGATCACCAATAGATCTTTTTTCTAAACTGTTTGAATCTTCACAAGTTTTTGGAAGGTTTTAGCTGTGGATGAAATCTCTACCTCTTTCCCAGAGAACTTCTTTCCAAGTAACACAATTTGAAAAGTGGTGTTGTAGACTAAAGCCCTCATTGTACAGAGTTTGAGGACCTAGAGAGAAAAGGCACTGTTACAAAAATAATAGTCTAGCTCAGAGTGGAAATGAAATGCAGGTCTTCCAATTTCATACATAGTGGATGTATTCTGGCTATGGTCCCAGCCCTTTTCTTCCCATAACTGAGCCTCCACTCCACATCCAAAGGTGGGTTTTGGCAACTGCTTCCATTCTGGGCTCTTCAATCATGATTTGGACCAATGGTGACCTGACCCAAACTGTACTAGGTGAATTATTCCTCTGTTCATACTTTTGAATTAAGAGGGAGCTATTCTCCTTCAGTTTGAGCAGAATTGAAAGGTGGGGAGAGAGAATTGCTTGTATTCCTGATTATTGTTCCTGATAAAATGAGGTCCTTTCACTAAATCCTTTCAGATTCATGCTACCTGCTACTGGAAAAATCTTTATTGAAGACCCCTACACAATTTCTTCATAGTTTTCTACCATCAACAGACTTAAATTAGCAGGTTTCCAGTGAACAGTTGATTGTTGTTGATTTCCAGGAGCCCAACTTTTTTCTTTTTTCCTTGTGTAGAGTTTGTCAGGATTTAGTTTAAGTATTTGGCCTAATCTTAAAAATAGAAAACCTCATATAAATGATCTCATGTGATAGTCAATGTATCCTCAATGTTCCTCAATGTTGACATTTATGCTTTAATACAGCATATCATAGGGAAACTTCTTGGTCTTTAGAATTGTATTCTAAAAGGTAACAGGGATTATGGGAGGGAATATAATTTAGGGCAAAACATTAAAAACTTATTTGTTGTTGTTGTTTTTCAGTCTCTAAGTGATGTCCGACTCTTTGCAATCCCCACTGACTGCAGCATGTCAGGCTTCCCTGTGCTTCTCTATCCCCCAGAGTTTGCTCAAACTCATATCCATTGAGTTGGTAATGCTATCTAATCATCTCATCCTCTGCCACCCTTTTCTTCTTTGCCTTTAATCTTTCCCAACATCAGAGTCTTTTCCAATGAGTTGGCTCTTCGCATCAGGTGGCCAAAGTACAGAGCTTCAGCTTTAGCATTAGCCCTTCTAATGAATATTTAGGATGGAATTCCTTTAGGATTCACTGGTTTGATCTTCCTGCAGCCTAGGGAACTCTCAGGAGTCTTCTCTAGCACCATGATTTGAAAGAACCAATTCTTTGGCAATCAGCCTTCTTTATGGTCCAGCTCTCACATCCATACATGACTACTGGAAAGAACACAGCTTTTATTATATGGACCTTTGTTGGCAAAGTGATGTCTTTGTTCTTTAATGTACTGTCTAAGTTTGTCATAATTTTCCTTCCAACGAGTAAGCGTCTTTTGATTTTATGGCTGCAGTCACCATCCCCAGTGATTTTGGAATTCAAGAAAATAAAATCTGTCACTGAAAGTGAAAGTCACTCAGTCATGTCTAACACTTTGCAACCCCATGGACTATACAGTCCATGGAATTCTCCAGGCCAGAGTACTGAA